GAGAGATTTTTGCGTGATTCTGGGGCTGTATAGCAAAACCCCAACCCCAGATTAATAAATCCAGTTACACGCTACATATAGGGTTTTCTTGGTGGCAGAGGTGGGATAAGTGATATCTCAATTCTCAAACAAAATATTCGGTGGTTTCTGGAGAAACGCCCTGTGCTTGGATGACAGACATGACTAGACATACCTTACTTGACATGGACTTTACAAATATGTGTGACCCCACCCCTGTGTTGTGTCCATCTGATAACCAGCAATATGAAGCCAATGCCTGTGCCCCAAACGATAGCCCCGGATCATCAAACCCTCCACGTACTGTTTCGTCTAAAGAGGCGCCATCTAGTAACTTAAAAGCGACTATACTGCATCAGTTATCAACAGTAGTGGAACAATTGGAACTTCAAAGAAAGAGAATTGACGAAATTGCAGCTACAAAAACATCGCCCGATTCTGTGAATAATATGTCTAATAGTGAATACAAATGGGGCAGGGTACGTGGTAGGCGGAATCAGTGGTGACTTTGCTGCAAAATTATTGGACAGATTCGACAATCTGTCTAAGGAAATGGAATTATATAGAAGTGAGGTGTTTGATGTGAAAACTTGCCTAAAACAAGGTGTGAGTGCGGGGGGTGGTTACAACAAATCAAACAACGTTACGTTTGGGCCGAATTCTGGTGAATATAATTTTGTTCCTAGTGTAACATCTACACTGAATACTAGATGTGACGTCTCCGGGTCTGTGTACCGTAAACCTGTGAGGACGCCCCAAGCTTATGATGGTAGTACATCCTTCATGGACTACAGGTGCCATTTTCAACTTTGTGCTCAACTTAATAATTGGAGTGAAAATGAGATGGCTTTACATTTAGCCACAAGTTTAAAGGGCAGTGCCCAGAAAGTGTTGACGTCGTTAAAGGTGGAAGATCGTTTAATTTATTCAAATGTTATCGGTGCTTTAGAAGACAGATTTTTACCCCAAAATCAGTGTCAATTATATAGAGCCCAATTGAAGGCCCGGAAAAGGAAACCAAAAGAAAGTCTGGGGAAGCAGTAAAGCGTTTGGTGACAATGTCATATCCATCTGCTGATAGTGAATTACTTCAAATTTTAG